CTCCAGTTTGAGGGGCTCTGATGCCCTCTTCTGGCCTCCGCAGGCACCAGGTATGCAGCAAAACACTCATATGCATAAAATAAGAAGAAACTAATTTTTTAATTATATTTAATTAATTATTAAATTGAGAGAAAAGGACACACACACATACACACACACACACACACACACACACACAGAGAGAGAGAGAGAGAATTTAACGTGGAGGTGAGAGGACAACTCAGAAGAATCAGTTCTTTCCTTCGTCTATGTGGGTTCTGGAATTGACCTCAGGTTGTCAGATATGGCGGTAAGTGTTCCCACCTAATGAGCCTTCTCAGCGGTCCCCTTTTGTAGTTCCATTCCTTTCTAGTTTGTCTCTTTCATGATACAAATACAGATTCTAATATGCTGAGACCTAGGGTGACAGCCATATACATAGCATACACACAGAGTTTTCCTGCTAAAGTTCTTTGTGTGTGTGTGTGTGTGTGTGTGTGTGTGTGTGTGTGTGTGTGTGTGTGTATGAAGATGTCCTGGGAGGCCAGAGAAGGTATCACAGCCCCTGGAGCTGGAGCTGCAGGCAGGTGTAAGCATCAGGATGTGGTTCTGGGAAGTGAACTCAGGTCCTCTAGAACAGCGGTACCTACTCTTCACCCCTGACCCACCAGCCCTCCCCACAGTGTTTTCTGTACAGAATTCTCTGCATGTTGGCTTTTTTAAAATTCAGTCAACATCTTCATGGATTTTTAACTCTTGTATGTGTCTCGGCTTCCTTATCTATAGAACTGGTCTCTGTTCCAAAGGTCCTTAACAGATGGGAAGTTCTATAAGATGTGAGAGAAAGCAGGCGTTGGAGTTGGATGGCCCGTTCCCTCTCATTGCTTGGACACTGTGTGCCAGTCTTCTCTGGGTGTAAGCACTGGGCTTCCTCATATACCAATAAATGAACTCCAGCAAGAAAAAGAACACGTTTTATGTTTTAGCTAGAAAACTACTCTCAAGAAATGTACAGAAACCCAACTGATGCTGGGTTCTCACTGGGAATTCAGTGAAGGGCAAAACCTTGGAAGTTACCTGAGGGGGAAGTCGCACATGGAGTCCTTGGCCCTGGACACCAGTGACTAGCACATTCTAGATACTGCACTGATGCCAGGGCAGATGTCTTCTCCTTTTACATCCCTCCTCCAGTCTCGGAAGTCTCCATGGTTGGGGACGAAGGTGATGATTTCCCAGAAAAGCAGCAATAACATACACTTTATTTTAGCCACTTTGTCATATGGAATTGGCTCATGGGATTGTGGGAGCCTGAAAGACTGACGTCTAGAAGGCACGCCAACAGGTTGGTGATTCATGCTAGGCTGACATGGTCCTTTTGTATCTGAATTCCACACGTACTGGGCAGGCTTCAAAGCATGTTGCACCCTGCAAACCAGAGGCTAAATTCCTTGTCTGGAAAAATCTTAGTCTTGGTTCTTAGAAAGACTTCTGATTGATTGGGTGGACTAAGCCACAATAAGGAGTGTAATCTGCCTTACTCAAAGTCTACTGATTAAAATGTTAATTACATCTAAAGCATACCTTCACAATGGCACCTAGACCAGGTTTTAACTCAACAAATGGACTTGTTAGTCAAGTCAGGTTGACATATGCAATTTACCAGTGTACCGTTCAATCCTCCTAATAGGGATTTTTTTCAGATAGTTCCTAAATTTAAGATTCTGAGTAGGAAGTGCTTTTGTGTGGGTTTTTTCTTTGTGTGTGTGTGTGTGTGTGTGTGTGTGTGTGTGTGTGTGTGTGAGAGAGAGAGAGAGAGAGAGAGAGAGAGAGATCAAAGTTGGGTGGGGAGGGAGGTGGCAAGGATGGGGGAGGGACTGGGGGAAAGGAAAAATAATCAAAATACATTGTATAAATTTTTTAATAAAAAAAGGAAAAGATGCTGAATAGGAAGGAAAAGCAAGCAAATAAACAAACATTACAGCTGCTCATGACATTCACTTTATTGTGTGTCCTTGGGCTGGCATCTTTCTGGCTATGTTTCCATATTCTAATACCGTAAAGTGGGGAGAATAATAGTGGCTATATGTGTTATTACTGCATATATTCAAAGATTAAAAAATATGCAAAGCACTCTGAAAAGTCCTTGGGACCAGGTAAGTACTGTAAAGCAAGGCACTGTAGTTTCTTATGTAAATTCCATTGCATGTTGTTTATTAGTGTTTATGGTGCCTAAGGGGAAAATACCTAACTCTCAGGCAGTGAGGTATGGTCTGCATCTGTATTAGGTTCTCTGAAGGAGCAGAACCAATAAAGTATATCATTACAGGGAATTTAGAACAGGTTACATGGTAGGGGCTGAGTGGTTCACCACCAGTGGTTCCATACACTGGAAAAGGCTGGCAATGAAATCATTTCTCTGCCCACAAAACTGTTACCACCTCATTTCCAATCTGACACGGAAGGCATAGAAGATGCAGTCACTGATCTACAGACCCTAATGGAAGACTAGAGAAACTGGGATGTGATGTTATAGAGAATACCCTAGCATCAACAGGATAGATGGGAGAGGGAGAGAGGAGAGAGGAGAGAGGAGAGAGGAGAGAGAGAGAGAGAGAGAGAGAGAGAGAGAGAGAGAGAGAGAGAGAGAGATATTTAGTACTAATTGGGATGGTGTGGACTTTTGAAACCTCAAACCCCACTTCCCAGAGACACACCTCCTCCAATAAAGTAACAGTTCTTAACCCTTCTTAAACAGTTCCATCAAGGCGGATCAGGCATTCAAACGTAAGAGCTTCTTGGGGACATTCTCATTTAATCCACCAGAGATGCACTCATTAGTTAGAAGCTGTGATGGCTACTCTTGGTTGTCAGCTAGACTACAATAGAAATTAACAAAAATTAAAAAATGGAGGGCAGAATTAGTGAGGGATTTTTTTTTTTTGGCTCAATTTGAAGTGGGAAGATCTACTTCTTATCTGGAACTTGAGGTGGGAGAATACTTGCTTTCAGTCTGGATCTTGAGGCAGGAAGACCCACATTTAATCTAGACCACACCCTCTGCCAGAAGACTATATAAGGACATGGAAGAAGGAAGCATTAATTACTTGCCTGCTTGTTTTTGCCTTGCTAACGAGTTCATTCCTTCATTGGCATTAGAGCCTACTTTGTCAGGATGCCAGCGTATACTGAACACCAGCTGAGACATCCAGCCTTGTGGACTGAGTACCTTCTAGATTCTTGGACTTTCCATTTATAGGCAGACATTGTTAGATTAGATGGACTATAGCCTGTAGGTCCTTCTAATAACACACACACACACACACACACACACACACTTACACGAACACACACTGTATAAATTCTATGATTCTAGAGAACCCTTGACTAATAGAGAAGTGAACATAATAGAACTAATAGAAAAGCCAATAGCTGCTTTTAATAGGGATCTCTTTACATAAGGGCTACTTACCAGATAGTGTGACCCACTCTTCAGAGATTCCTCTCCTCTCCATTCATCCTATGACTGCCCTCACAAACCTGTCCAGAGGTGTCTCTCTTACTTTACTATAGATCCCACCAAGTGGGCAATCAATATTTTATATCTGGTTGAAGATGCCAGCTCCCACTCCCAAATGAAAAGACATCAACAGTTGCAGCGTATTGTGTACTTGCTGTCTTCCAGGCGCCACACTGGATGCTTTGTGTATAATAGCCCATTGTAATCTGAGTCAAGCCACAGTTCAGTGAGGGTCAGAGCCTCATTTTACAGAGAAATGATGCCCAGGTTGAGAAAAGCATTCCACAGCCATACAAGGAACTCATGGAGGAAATGCTTATGAATTGAGGCTTTCCTTATTTTCAGTCTGGCTCTCTCTCTCTCTCTCTCTCTCTGTCTGTCTTCACCATAGTTCAGAGGTGTGTTCTGGCCCCTGCCTCTCTGGCTGCCTTCACTGCTTCAGGGTTACCTTGGCTTCACTGATCTGGAAAATGAGAATTCTCTGATCTCCTCTGAGCATCATTTGTAGGATGCCAAGTCCCTACGAGGAGATTCCTCTCTTTGTTCTTAGACTTCAGGCTTTGTTTTGGCGAAGGACCTCGGCTTTAGCTTCCGTCTTGATAAACGATTAATGCAAATTTCTTCACTTTTTAGGTCCGATTGTGGGTGTTTGGAAGAAAGATAATAGAGCCTTAAAAATGCCTTTCATATAATTATAACTTCTTTAGAAACAATTCTTTTCATGTACACTGAATTAAATTATTTTGAATTCCTTGAATGTATTTGGGGAATTATGGAAAGTAGTCTATATTTAGAACGGAAATCAATGATTTGTGAACATCGCTTTAGCAAGTTTTCAGTGCTTGGCAGGTTGACCACTTTATAACATTCATCACTGACAAAGGAAGCGAGACTTCCACAGGCAGAATCACCTAGCAGTTGAGGGTATCTGAACAATACCAGGCATATGAATTAAGCCTATTTTTTTTAAGGATAATAATTTGGTTGTTAGGCATTCTACTGAGAAGTGGGGTCTACAGACCAGATGAAACAGAGAACAAAGTTCTTCTTTGCCTGGGCTGTCAGACCTGTGCACCTCAAACATTAATATTCATGGAAGTCATGATGAGAGTTTCAAAATGCACATTCTGGAATGGACTGGTTGGGGTGGTGATTTGAGATCCTGTGTTTTCTGATAGGCCCCAAGGTGCAGCTGGAATTTCTGTTCATGGTCTGCATTCTTTGTAGCAAGGGTGACTCACAGTTTCAATAGAAGTCATAGCTGAGAAACCCAGCATTGTCCAGTATAAAATCCTGGCCCGTTATTGTTAGTTGTTTACAGCCATATGCTATGTATCTTGACAGTCAATGGTTAGAGATGGTTCTTGAGTTAACCAGAAACCATCCCACCTAGATATCTGTGGGTGAATGGAGGGGACAGAGACTGATGTGTCTGGTCATCCAGATGCTTGACTCCTAGAACTCGACGTAAAATACACTCTTTAGTCATTGTGATGGGGACAGAAGCACAGTTCCGCCTTGTCATCTGCAGCAACAGAAGGGGTTCCCTCAATCCTTTAGGGGCCTCAGCACAGGTAAAACTGGGTCTTTTGGCTCAGCCAGCATGAAGCAGAGTCAGGTTTTATTAAAAAAAAGGAAGGTGCTCAGGGAGAGAACCAGATACAGCCAAAACTGCGCTTATGGACTCTCACAGCAGTCACACTTAAGAATCTTAGTTGTAGACACACACACCAGTTTGGTGGCTCTTAAGTTACATTTAAAGGGGCTGCTAAGAAACCTTTTCTTTCCTTTCCTCCTTTTCGGTAGTGATAATCAAGATTGTAGGTGACTGTAAAGGTCAGTAGAAGGATTTATAATCTGATAAGATACCCCAGGAGCCACTAGCTTTGCACTGGGCATTTGGGGCATGTCTTTTTACTGTAAGTGGGATTTCTGGTGAGGGCCCTAGAAAATTGAAGGTTTATAGCTGGGAAATGAGTGGGACTATATTTTTACATTTTAAAATATTAAATTTGAAATATTAAAATTTAAATAAATCATTGCTTTTTTAATAGTCTTTAAAAATTATGGCATTCACTGTTTATTTATTGATTTGTGTGTGTGTGTGTGTGTGTTTGTGTGTGTGTGTTTGTGTGTGTATCTTGACACAAGCATGGAGGTGGAGGTGACCCGTGGGAGTCACCTTTTTCTACTATGTGGGCTCTGGGGATCACACTCAGGTTGTCAGGCTTGGCATCAGGTGCTTTTGCTGGCTTAGCTGCCTCACCAACCTGCTACTTCATTGTTCTTCTTTCGCTGTAGAAAAGGCGCCCCACCTCTATGCTTACATCCTGCACAGCGGATGAAGTTAATTGGGCTGCAATTCTTGGCTCTTAGCAGATGAGGGGCTTCAGCCGAACTCTGAGATGAGGGCTCCATTCTATTCCCTGTCCCCATAGTATCTCTTGCCTTCCTATCCTGCTTTACACTTGCTGTTCTATGTGAAACATACACAGAAGCTGCCTTTCGTAGATGAAAAAGCAAAGCTTCAGAAGCAATACATCATGGCTGGGCAGTGGAGAGTAAGACTTGAACCTTGAGCTGTCTGGCTTGACAGGAGTGTGCATGTATGTGTGCACGTGCATGTGTTTGTGTGTGTGTGTGTGTTTGTGTGTGTGTGTGCTTGCTTGCCTGAGTGCCATATACCAGTCACAGCTGGATGTGTTTTATGCCTCCTGTTGCTTTTTATCTGGAAATTATTGGCAATTCTTTCCTTTTTTTTCTTTTAAGTTTTTGTAAAAAAAGAGAAATCAAATCCAATTTTAAAAAATCTCCAGAAAATTGTTCATTAAACTTCCCTCTGACATCCTGTTTTTTTTTTTTTCATCTTAGTCTGTATGTCAAGTATGTTCTCTAGCCCGGAAAGGCCTTGACGCTTTGTGCTGAGCCCACTGACAAAGCCTTATGATTTAAAAATTGATTTAAAAACCATCCCATTTCTCCTTCCACAGAACCCAAGCCTTTGATCTTTTCTCAGGAGCAATTTCCAATCAGCCTTTTTTTTTTTTTCCCCAACCTTGTAAATGTTGGTATTCAGTCCTCCCTGGGCCTACTCCCCTTTTCAGAAGGAGAGGTTGGGACTTCCTTTTCCCCAGTGCCATCTCTGTGCTATTAGAATTCTTACTCTCAATTGGCTTGTATCCTGGGGAAGGAATTTAACACAGCAAACCCCATGCTGTGATTGTTTGCACACTAAAACTAAGTAGGGTTTTGGCAACCACCTGGTCTGCTTGGTCTATGCCAGTGCGAACAGACTAATTTAGCACTTTAAAAATGTTATATTTGTTTGGCATAAAAAACCCCAGATATTGTAAACATGAATCAAAATAACCAGGTCACTGCCAGATCCTTACACCTTGAGATAAAAATGCAGAAATCTTGTGATACATAACAAAGAATAAAGTAGTTACATAGCATTCTTAGCTTCACTTTTATTGCTTTATTTTTCCTTCACAGCATGCCAGAATATAAAACCAGCAAGGTCAGAGCCGATGCCCTTGATGAAAAGTTATGGAATTTGGAGTTCTATTTATCCAACGCAAGACGGACACATTTACCTAAAGGCCCTAAATTTTTTTGAGACATTTTATTGATAACTTCTGACCAAGTATAATTTTTTATCTCAAGACTAATTATCTTCACTATATGTGTAACTCCTTGAAGACTTAGTGTCCATAACAACTAATTCATGAATTTGAATTTATGTGGTACACAAATTTGCTTAGCCAATATCTTACTCATGGACTACGGTTATGAGAAGTTACAGGGTTGCATCAGTAGGGTCTCGAGGTAATAGATGGTTTAAGAGGGAAGAATAAAAGGTTCTTGGAGTTCTGAATTGACTTGTTCTTTTTTGCTAAGTAGTCTTTAGCTGTGGCATACACAATTATGGAAACAGCTCTCCAGGGACTGAGCTGGTAGCTCTTAAGACTGCATAGTAGACTCATCTTCAGAGCCTTGGTGACAAAGAAGAGTATGCTCTACGACTGTCAATCCAGAAATATCTAGAGTTGGTTTTAATGCATTGTGAGGACTGAGAATTGTTGAATAAAGTTATTGAAAATTAGTCATCTGTAGACATTTTGCAATGGATTCAGGACTCCAACCGATTCCAAACCTGGATAATGTTTGAATACACAAATCCTAAATCAGAGTAGGAAGTGGCAGAACTCTATAACCTAGATTTCCTATACTGGATTTATACGGGATGAGACTTACTGGATCTTTTTAGGGGGCTTGATTTTTTTTTTTTTTAAGACAGGGTTTCTCTGTGGAACAGTCCTGACTGTCCTGGAACTCACTTTGTAGACCAGGCTGGCCTCAAATTCACTGAGATCCTCCTGCCTCTGCCTTCCAAAGTGTTGGGATTAAAGACGTGTGCTACCACCGTCTGGCATAACTGGATTTTCTTAAATTCAGTAATGTTACAACAACAGCTCTGATTTGTTGAGTAATTGCTCTCATCAACTAGGCAAATATTTACTGGATTCATATATATGTATGTGTGTATACACACATACATGTATATCCATAAACACACAGACACATATAAGAACCATACACAACTCATTTACATGTGTGTACATACATATATTACATGAATTCATGTGTCTATATGAATTGTGTCTGGTCCTTACATAACTCTATGTTGTAAATTTGCAATAGAAAACACAGTCATTTTAACATGTGAGAAAATTGAATTAGAGTGAGGTTAACCACAGGTAATAAGTGTAGAGTGTGGTTTCATGCCTTCATATACCTAACACTTCTAACCTTTGCAACAATCCCAGGGTAGGTATTGCGTGCATACCTTTAACAAGGGAAGAAACATAGGAAGGAAATAGTTAAGCAAGTGATATCAAGTACTGGGAAGAAATCTAAGGTCAAATCAAAGCTGTGTTTATTTAGCACACAGAAAAGAATAGCTTCCTCTATCCCCTAAGAGGGCTTCCAGCATCATATTCAAATAGGTTTCTTCCCAAACCAACACTATTTTGGAAAACAAAAGCAAAAACAAAACAAGAAAACCGTCTAGGAAATACTGTGAGTTTAAATGATTATGTGTACCAAAGTAATTGAAAAGCCTGGATGTGAATTTGGGTATTGCAGCAAAGGCTAACATGGGCATCAGTTTACATCCCTTGCTTTAAATTTTGCGTCCAGCTTGATTTTAAATGTATAAGTATGTTAAGCCGTTTAATTCCCTGGATTATTTACACTCTGGTCAGAGTGACTGCTGAAGGATAGTGTAATTACCAAGTACAATTTCCCAGCTGAATGCAATTGCTTGTTGTGTAATAGGTCTGTTGGGGACTGATCTCTGCAAACACCCAAACTCAAATACTTGTAAATCATAGTTAGTGGTAAATGACATACAACCCCGTGAGGACACATAGAAAATGAGACATGGGCTTTGATTCGGATGGGCTATTTTCTTCTGCTATTTGTCAAACTCCTATAAAGCATTGGAATTAAAGGTACTTTTCCGACTCTACTATTTTCCCAGCACAGTGTTAGAAACTGGCTATTTCCCATCACTGTTGTAGCCCTTTGGATGACAGAGTAGAACATAGCTGATTGGGAGACTAGGGACTTTGGTGGCTCCCTGACCAGACAACAGCATCTTCCTTGTTTTCTGTCAGTAATCTCTAGGTCTCATTCCACCATCCAACCTTCCATTTCTCAGTTCCACTTCCTATGATCCAGTGAGCAGCAATCAGGTGTGTGAGGAGTGTGAGACGGTGTCAGGTGTCACAGGTCAAATAGCACAGAGCAGAGAATTATAGGGAAAAGACAGCAGGGGCTGGTGGGATGGTTCAGTGGGTACAGCTTGTGGCTAAACCTGACAGCCTGAGTTTGATTCGCAGAACTCACATGGTGGAGGGAGAAAATGCATGCCCACAGATTGCTACCCTGACTTCCACATGTGAACTCACCTCGAGCCCACTAAGTGGATCAATGAATATCAAAGGAGAAAGCATTAGTGATCATGAACTCCCCTCCATTCCTCACTAATACTTCCTCTCTGCTGTGAAATGAATTGTTGTTAACAGCCAGGGCTTGGCTGGTCCTTTCCCACGCGGTCACCACTTTGCAGACTACATGGCCCACCTTGTACTGAAATGAGGAACGCTTAGTATCTCTAAATTAATTTTCATGCTGACAACAGTCTGTAATTACATTTCCCTTTGCTTCTTTGCTCTTTCATTCCAAGCATATTTACTAAAAGGAAAGCAGAAGGTTGGAAGACCCCTAAACACAATTCCTAGCCCATTTGTTTTAGTACCTCCTAGTTCATAACAAATGACTTTCCATTCCCCCTGCAGTTTTTATAGCTCACGATTCTGTCAATCAATAATTTCAGGACGACTCAGTTGGATTAATTTTCTTGATCTGTGGATGTCAGCTGGAGTGAATGGTTTGACAAGATGATCTGGGTGTCTTTGCCAACATGCTCCCCTCTTCTTCTTCTCCGTTTTCTCTCAATGCAACCTTAGGATCTTCCGGTACGTTTCGTGCACAGCTGTTCTTTGATCTGGACGGTGCCAAATACTACAATTATTTGCTGCGTTTTTCAGTGTTTGGAGCACAACTCTAAGAAAGGAAAAGATTTTCAAGAAAATTTCCTGTAACCTTCCCAGAAAGGTGTATGAGCACTTCCTCATTATGATGGGCACAGGTGGCAACAGTTCACTAAAAGCAAAATAAACAGCCAAGTGCGGTGGATCACTTGAGTTCAAAGCTACGGTATGAGACCTGTCTCAAACAAAACAAACAACCTAACGAAATTTCAGATGAAGAAAGAATAAGCTTTATCCCAAATGCCCTTGAGCCCTTGTTATTTGTTTGAAATTAACCACAGAAAACAAAACAAAAATTCAACTCTTCAGGGTTGGTTATTTACAAGAAGTTTTATTTACAGAACAAATCTTTGCCCATAGTGTCTTTATTCTTGCATTTTTTAATCATGCCATACAATAAAAATGATTTAAAAATTATTCTTCGCTCATATATTATATCCCAACGTTGGTTTCACCTCCCTTCTCTCCTCCCAGTCCCCCTTCCCCTGTCTCCTCTCCCCTAGATCCATTCCTCCTCCCTTCCCTTAGAAAAGGACAGGCCTCTAGGGATATCAGCCAACAATGACATGTCAAGTTTTCATAAAACTAAGCACACCCCCTCATATTAAGGCTGGATGAGGTAGCACAGTAGGAAGAAAAGGGACCCAAAAGCAGGCAAAAGATTCAGAGAGAGCCCCTGCTCCCTCTGTTGGGAGTCCCACAGGAACACCAAGCCACACAACTGTGACATATATGCAGGGGCCTAGATCAGGGTCCCTGATTATTGATTGAGTCTCCATGAACTCACATGAACCCTGGTTAGTTGAGTCTATGGGCCACTTTGCTGTGGCATGTTGACTCTTCTGGCTCCTACAATCCTTCCTCACCTTCTTCTGTGGAATTCCCTAAGCTCTGCCTAATGTTCAGCTGTGAGTCTCTGCATCTGCTCTATCAGTTGCTAAATGAAGCCTCTCTGTTGACAATTAGGCTCTGATCTATGAGTATAGCATAGTATCACTAGGAATTAATTCATTGACTCCCCTACCCCTACTCACGTTTGGTTCAATCATAGGTCTCTGGGCTATCCAGACTCTGGTTCCTGAACCTCCATGTAGAGTCTGGTGTGGTCTCCCTCTTGTGGCTTGGGCCTCAGTTTGGACCAGTCATTAGTTGGCTGCTCCTCCAAGTTCTGAGACACCTTTACTCCAGCACATCTTGCAGGGAGTTTTCAAATTGTAGTTTGAAGGTTTTGTGCCTGGGTTGGTGTTCCAGTCCTTTTGCTAGAAACCTTACCTTACCTGGTTACTACAAGTCTTAGCTAGGGGTGACACTCCTAGATTCCTGGGAGTTTCCATTGTACTAGGTTTCTACCTTGCCTCCAAAATGCCCCCCAATTCTAGTCATCCCTTCCAGATTTGTTTTTATTTTATGTGTTGGGCATTTTACTTGCATGTTTGTCTGTGCACCACATGTGTGCAGTGCCTAAAGAGGCTAGAAGAAAGTGTCAAATTCCCTGGAACGGCAGTGAAGAATAGCTGTTTGTTGCCATGTGGATGCTGGGAATCGAACCCTGGTCTTCTGGAAGAGGAGACAGTATTATCTATTGAACCTTCTGTCCAGTCCCAATCACAGACTTGTTTAATCCTTTATGAAAAGAACATCTTTTTTTCTCCTTTTCCTATCCAAATTTGATATAGCAAAATGGTCCTGTAGAGATTTTCAGGGTAAAGGTATGTTTATGCTTTCAATGGGTAATAATAATAATAATAATAATAACCAACATAAATGGCACCAGAGAACTGTCATTCTGAGCTCCATTGTCCCAGATGGTCAATGATAGAAATTACTGTGTTACAACAGGTCAGAAATGACAATTCCCAAAGCCACATTACAGTGTGAGTAAAGTTTTACACATGCACAGAAGGTGACTGCGGTGAGGCAGAGGCTTTGCACTGTGTTGCCTAGGGTGTCTACTGCTGCAATAAAACATCATGACCGAAAAGCAAGCTGGAGAAGAAAGGGTTTATTTGGCTCACACTTCCGCATTATAGTCCATCATGGAAGGAAGTCAGGGAAAGCACTCAAACAGGGCAAGAACCTGGTGCAGAGGCCATGCAGGGCACTGTTTACTGGCTTGCCCTCATGGCTTTGCCCAGCCTGCTTTCTTCTAGAACCCAGGACCACCATAGCATCACCCACAATGGGCTGGACCCTCCCGCACCAGTCACTAATTAAGAAAATATCTTACATCCTGATCTTATGGAAGCATTTTCACAGT